GAGAAAGGAAAATCCTGTGGTGTTCCTTCTTGGCTTCAGTATTGCTGCTTGGTAAGAGGCAGAATACAGCAAAAAATATTTAATAATTCTTTTAAGTTGTGTTAATGGAACACATATCCTGTGCTTGAAATACTGACTCTTACCAGCTCATGTATGAGCAAACACCTTACTTAGTCACCTTAGTCACCTATTTGTGATAGTACTCAGTGAGATCACCGTGGAAGTCTAAACTAGTTCCTTATAAAGCTAAAATAATGACCTACCATTCAATACCTATTAGGAAAATATATATTTTCTGCTGATTCTCTGAAAGCGGCCACCTGGTAAGTTAACTATGAACCAGGACTACAGAACTGCTTGTTTCCTACCTAAGTATCTTAAATCATGAGGCCACAGATTCAATGCATTTGGCATCAACAATTCCCACTGCTCTCTGTGTTCTTCATGGAGAGTATAAAAATTTGACCATCATTGATGTGTGCAAATACTTGCTGTGTTGTTTGGAAGATCTGGCATTAAGGCCTGGCAGTTCCTGCGAGACCTGTAGCAGCACCGTGGAAAGCAATGGTAACTAATAACATCACACAGGTAAGGCACAACATAACTCTAAAATGAGGCTTATTTCAGTACAAAAGCTGGAACACACCTTATGGTTTTATGCTCCCATACTTGCTCACAGTGAGTGTGAGTGGCAGATCATGCCACAAATAATTCCATGAAGTCCATAAAAAACACATAGGATAAAGTTTCCAAAGGCCAACTGCTTCTTATGGCAGAATTTGACCTGCAGTAAATAGACCTGGAGATCCAGAAAACATGTTATTTCCCCTTCAAAACACTAAGACAAAAAACAGATGCAAAAAAACCTCACTGTTGACTCATTCAGGTATATAAACTTTAGACAATCTCTAATTCAAGACATTAATTTCTCTGGTCAATGAATATAAGGATTTATAAGTAAAAGGTGAAAATTAACTGTTATCTCACCTAAGAAAATATGTAAGTTATGGAACAATAAATCATGATATTTAAGAACTAGAACACAGTATCAGACTAATACTTTTATAATATCATTCATTATTTGACACTAAACTGATATTTTGGCTATTACACAAAATTAAGTTTCTGCTAGATACTTATTTAACATTCTATTCTATCATATTCTTTCATACTACTGCAGTTTCAAAATCTGCTTCTATGCTTCACTTGAGTATTTCCCAGTTTATGTGCACTAATACGTAGATTGAAACCAGTCTTTTCAGCCTATTAGTACTGGGGTTTCCTTGTAAAACAGCCTATAACCTTGTGACGTTTTTCTGTAACGAATTCTGTTACACAACAATGTGTAACCCCGTAACAAATTTCAACTGAATCAGTCAAAATAGCTGGAAAAGTTCTGCAGCTTTAACGTGTTGAATTTAATTTCTTCTTAATCAGAAAAACTGACAGTAAGTTTGCAAATTTTCTATGAACTTGAGAAAAGATGTTTAAATAATTCACCTAAATTTTCTCAGATTTATGAATTTAACTATGGTTTGGTTTAATTTTTCCAAACTGTCCTGGTTTTGGCTGGGATACAGTTAATTTTCTTTCTAGTAGCTGGATGTTCTAGTTGTTGCTAAGTAGCGCTTATCCTAGTTAAGAATATAAACAAGAACTTTGAAAGAAACAAAATAACTTTGAAGGATTATAATGAAGAATTTCCTTTCTTTTTTTTTTTTTTGGTGCATTCAGTTTGTATTTCTTGAAACAACCACAGAGAGATCTGAGGCATAAGGCCAGAAAGATACTAGGTGCTTTCAGAATAGCTTTAAATTTTCTTTGTGACGGTGTCTTATTATTTTGCTTACCTTCAGTTTTCACACGGAAAGAAAATCATACAAAAACTCCTGTCATGGAGAAAATTTTTGGAGTATGTCATTGGAGATATTTAATATTAACTATCCACTTTTCTTCACTTGGTCTCTCCAGACTCATCGTGGTGCACTGTGACTTTGGGAGGGCTCTGTTGTGCCACTAGACAACCTATTTGGCCCAAGTACAGATTTAATAGTCACTGAGGCTTTAGGAGATTGAACCTGATTAATAATAGACAAAGTAGTATAGAGTGGGAGAGAAACCAGTAATACCTTGTTCAGAAGGAGAAGATACACTTTGATCCAGTTAAAAGGTGTTGTAGACATGTCTGCCATGGCGTTCCTCAGAACACTTACCTTCTGTAGGACATTTCTGATGGAGAGCATCATCTAAAACATTGTCCTCAGAACATCTTACTTCCATTTTTCATTCAAGCAGTTTTGATTTGATGTTCAGTTAATGGCAAGTGACTCCAGAAATGCAAAACAACAGTTCTTCAGACAAAGAAAAGTGCTGCAGACCACCCCCCGCCCCCCGTTCCAGTGGGTGAGAATTTGCCTCAAAACACCATTTCCCATATGGGTGACATATGGGAAGATGTCGTATATGTCATACAAAAAGACATATATGCCCTTTTTCTCTTAAGCATTATAAAAACGCCAAGATGTCTCCATGTTGCCACAAAACCTCACTTTTTTAAGTAACGTCTGAAGTAGTCAAATTCTATATGCAGGGTTTGTAGGTACCTATAGTAGGATTTTTTCTTTGATTAATTATTTCGTTTGCCATGAGTAAGAACAGAAAGGGTGAGGAAAAGAAGTGGCAAGTCCTCAACAGTGCAATGAAGCAGAAGATGAGAAATGTCGTTTTAATGAATGAAAACTGAAAGCAAAAGGTACATGACACAGAACACTGATCAGCAAAAAACAAAGGGAGTGGAAAGAGATCAGAGTGAGGCATATCAAATCATGTATTAAAACAGATAAGAATACAAAAAAGATACCAGGGAAATAAGATGCAATTCACTAGGAACAACGGCGCATAAGTATTATGAAGTCATGAAAAGCAAATGCATTTTTGAGATGTGAAAATAGTTTTCTCGCTTCAAATTAAGGCTAAAAAAAAGTGCAAAATCTCAATAAATTTGAATAACAAATATCACTTTCTTTTAAACATTTTGAAGTCTAGAAATAGCTAAAATTTCTAAGTTTAAATCATGGCAGGCCACAAAACAGGTAGTTTTCAACTCAACAATTTCTAACTTCTCCCAAACTAGAAAATTTATCAAATTAATCCTTTCCCCTTCCAGCACTTTTAATTAAAAAGAATTTCCACTCCAACATCTATCACAGAGAATGATTATACAGCTACTTAGATTAATTTCCCCTTGTTTAATTTTAAAACACTAATTGACATATTTTGAACTTTTGTAAAAAATTCTAATCCCCCATTCATGTTTACAACCTTGTAATTCTTAGAGACTATTATGATATCTCTCCTTAAACATTGCTTAAATTGTGCAGATGTAGTCCTCTCAGTTTTTCCTTGGAAGACACTCACTCCAGGACTCTAGCTCCTTCTAATTCTTTTCAAGGAACACCCTCCTCACCTTTATACTGCTGAACACCAGAATATTTTAACACGAGCACTGAGTTGTTCAAATCCACTAGACAAAAAAGCAGTAGAAGGAGGTGACCACACAGATTAGAGCAATCGCATGTGTGATGCTCCCAGCACTGAAATTCTCAATAAGGTAGGTAGTTGGTCAGAGACATCCATAAGAAAAGCCTTACTCAAACAAAATGCATTTTTA